AGAATCATGTGTGTGGTCTATGGTTTGACTAGTGTTGAAGAGAGCACACACAGGCCTATCATGAAACCCGTCATTGCCCCAGTATCCAAGATACCATGGATAAGCTAAACTAGACATTAGCTGAGAGCAACACAGGACCCCTGCGCCCCCCCACCCCTGCAGTAAATTCCAACGCACCCTCTGGGGCAGGAGAGACCCTCGACTCTGTCAGTAAATTAATTCCAATAGATCCCCACTGGCAGAAAAAGGTCCAGCAGTAGCCAGACCCTAAAAACGTGCTTTCCCTTTTAGGGGTTCAACTCTTGGCCTGCAGAGAGTCGTCACCTCACTGGACTTCCAATAAAGCTCATTTTTAACTGGTAATCTTGGCATCCTTTCTTTTCTAACAACTATCACATAAAAATTGCTAGGAAAATAAGCTCATTTCTTCAAGGTTAAGTCCAAACCAAATAGTTAACAAGCATGCATTTATTTCATTATTAAAAACAAGTCTTTATCCATGGCTGTCATTTCAGACATGAGTTTCTCCAATCCTTTAATGTCACAAAATGGGTCTAAATTGGTTTCTACAATATATAAACTATCATTTTAACACAATAATTCAACTAACTGTCAATGTGTCACACATTTATGAACTAAGAATAGTATTCAAGGCTTTAAGTCAACCATTCAGTACTTTTATCTGTGCTCCTTAATTTGAAGAATACATTTTCTATTTTAAGGAATGAGAGAAATAGCTCATGATTTCTGATGGCATAAAACAACAAAGACATATGTCTGAGAAAATACAACATAAAAATGTGTAGACTTGTAAGTTGTTGAGCTCATGAAGAAGGACATACAAATTAAAATTCAGGAAAAGTGAAAAATTTTAGAATTTCAAAATTTAAATGACTTCAGAAAATCATATAAGGATGTTACAGGACAGGAAGAGGGGCAGCCCAGACCCAGCAAACCTGCCTGCTCTAAATAGGCTCTGCCATCTGCCGCATCAACACAAAACATATGAGAATTTAATGGGAAGGAATTTTAATACAATTAGGAAACAATACAGGAAAGGCAAAGAATCTAGTTTCTAAATCAAGCACCCAAGTTAGCCATCCCCTCATGGGTAAAAAGTCCACCCAAGCAGAATTGGCCCAGAACAAGGCCCCAAATCCTGTCACAAGTCTAAAGCATCTTCCAGTGGGGACCCACAGAAAAGGATCAGAAACAAGCAGACATGTCTGGAAGGAAAAGAGTTAAATCAAAATCAAGACAAAACCATCATTGTCACCTCCCCACGGGTCTCTCACCCACAACTGTGTCACCCAGTCCACGATCAAAAAGCAAGTGTAGTTTCTTCATGAGTCTCTAGGCTCCATGTTTCTCCTCCAGGTCTCCTTCTGGCTCCATCCTTCTTCCTTCCTTCCTCAGTCTCCTCTGCAGCTTCTTCTCTCTTTGCTCAGCTCCACCTCCTTTTGAGTGAGGCAGGAAACATGGAACCTCCCCATTTCCTAGGGACCACCCTGTTACAAGGCGATAACACATATCTGAAGAATTGTTAGGATTAACAGGACTAGATGGTCTTTTCACATATTAAGAAAAGAAATAGAGAAGCCTAGAATATGTGAGTTGGAAAACAGAGTCATACACAGTAAGGTACTGTGAAACTACAGTAATACAGAGTTTGATATTACATGCATGAACACACACACATCCATTGAACAGATTAGCATCTCCCACACCTATATCATCATTTGACATAACAAAGGTGATATTCATCAGAAAAAAAAAAACAACTTTTCAGTCAATGGCATTGTAATTAATTGAGGAAACAACTTATTTAAAGATGACGCAGTGATTCCACTGCTAGGCAACTACCCAAAGGACACAAAAACACTAATTTGAAAGGAAATATGCACTCCTATGTTTATTGCAGCACTATTTAAAATATCCAAGATATGGAAACAATGAAAATGCCCCAAAACAGATGAATGGATAAAAATGTTGTGGTATATTTATACAATGAATTCATGCCATTTGCTGGAACATGCATGGAGCTGGAAAGGATTGTGCTCAGTGAAATAAGCCAGAAGGAAAAAGAAAAGTATCATATGGTTTCACTTATAGGAGGAATATGAGGGAAACCAGTAAGGGATCAGGGGAAAAATGATTATAATAAATAAAAAAAATACAAAATTAACAGGCAACTATAAATCAGGGATATTCTGCCTGGGAGGAGGAGGGATCAAAACAGGGGGAGGAAGAGCACAAGGGACTATGGTGATAATGCATGGGTGAATTGGTGGTGGGAATATTATAGGAACTACACCAGAAAGGAGAAAAGATACACTCTACAAAAATGAAGAATGATGTAAAATATATATAAATAAAAAAATAAAAAATGATTGAAAGAAAAAAGAATTAAAAAATTAAAACAAATATAAAAACCTAGAAAATATAAAATAGCTACAACTTCTATTTTATGCAAAAATAATTTTTAAATAGATTACTGAAAGCAAAGGATGAAATAGTAAAACTTTTACTGTAATCATTAATGTTTGCATTTGTTATTTTAAAGTTTCAATAAGTATTGTACCTGCAGATTCATTTACATATATTAGGGAATATTTGTGTCTCAAACATAAACATTTATATCTACATAAATTCTGGAAAAAAAAAAGAAAATTATTTTTTTAAATATTGTCTTTTTTTTTAACTAATCTTTTTTTTTAAAAAAAAAGATTTATTTATTTATTTATACAGGCACTGGGTACAGTCAGAGCATGGGAGAGTGAGAGAATTCACCAGAGCCAGAGCGGGGAACAGAGCAGGCAGAGTGACGAAATACACTGCTAAGGGGAGCAGCGGGCGGCAGGAGAGGTCTGCGCACCATGTGGGACCCTCACCGGAGGCCGGAGATTGAACCGGTGCTGCAGAGGCTGCGGGCAGCTTCGCAGCCCAGCGCTCAACCGCTGCACCACCAGGGGAGGCCCTAAATGTTGTCTCTTTACATGACTTCAAAGCATGGAAAAATATCCAATGATGTTTGGGAACTTTTATAAGTCAATGTTAGAGTCTTCTTTTCTGTCACTTATGATTGAATCACTTTCTCATGATGTTTTGTCACTGCTTCATTTGTTCATTTGGTGGAAAATCTTATTTTTACATTTGAAAACTTTTATTTCAGTTCACTATTTCTGTCTTCCCTTGTGTTATGTTATCAGTCCATCCATGATTTTTATACTCCAATCACTGAACATTATACTCCTATGTACTTTTTCCCCTATTTTTCAAATATATGTATTTCTGTTAGTATAGCATCCTTTTAATAATATACAGATTATTGTGTTGTCTAAAGATTCCTCCCACATGCATGGCAATTAAGCCTTTGCATTTTTAGATGCAAAATACGGTATAAGATTTTCCCAGAATGACCTGAGTATATTGCTCAAGGAGCCCTGTGAGGTTCATAGAGCCTTAGCGGAGCCAGAGTTAATGGGCGCTCGAGTCTGGTTGTTCTCATCAATTCATGGGTATCACATAATATTCCAACTCCAGTGTAACTCAAACTGAGAAAAGAATCTCATGCTTATTATTTTCTGTCATCCTGGCACGTATGATTCTTGAAGGTATCATGTTAACTTCCTTAAAATTATGGAAATTTTGCACACCCAGTTTCATGGGGTTAGGTTTTAATCTATTGCATTTGAAGGAATAGTGTTTACAGAGTTATTTTGTGAATATCTTTTATTAGATAGCTACTCTGACAACTTTCTCATATGACAACTTTCCCTATGCTCATTTCTCTGTTAAATTATTTTTGCCTGATTATGCTATGTTTGGTTGACCAAACTGACATCAATGGGTACCATTTTCCCTCATCCTATTACTGAACAGGGTGACAGACATCCTAGAACTCCCAAACATGCCCACTTTAAATAGGTTCTGCCATTCACCATATCAAAACAAATCATATTCTAGTGTGTAAGACCTTTAATGGAAACAACTTTAAAACAATTAGTGTGAAATAAAGAGAAGGAAAAAAATGGGTAAAATAGCTTTCACACAAAACACCCAAGTGACCCATTCTATTGTGGGTAAATGTCCAGCCAAATAGAGTTGGCCCAAAATGAGGCTGCTGAGGCCCAAAAGCTAGCCACAAATCTAAAGCACCTTCCAAACGGGACCCTTAGAAAAGCAGCAGAAAGGGCCAGGAAGGAAAAGAGCAAAATCATAATCAAGGTAAATGCTGCATTGTTAACCTCCCCAAGGTCTCTCAACCACATCTGTTTTAAGTGTCTCCTTCCATGTCCCGCAAATCCTTGGAACAATCCCAAGGCTGAGAATCAGGGGCATCTTCTTTGTCTCTCTCTGCTCCATGTGCCTCTTCTAGGTCTCCTTCTCCATCCATTTTCCTTGCTTCTCTCAGTCTTCTCTCCAGCTTCTACTACTCCCTGCTCAGCTCCCCCCTACCTTGGGTACAACAGGCAATCTGGAACGTCACCTTTCCCTGAGGACCACACTGTTACAGTCCCAAATTAGGGGCACAAGTCAAGAACTAAGATGCAGCTGGGCCTTGGACTGAAGATGCTGAGCCCAGGAAAAATGCTCTTGAGGGAAAAAGCATTTTAGATCCCACTGCCTGTGGACAGATCAGTAACTAAAGATCAGTAAAGCTAAAACTCCCAGCTTCCATAATAAGAAATATACCATAGGGAAAATCTTAGCATTTTTTCTGGTTATTATCAATGCACAGAAGACATCACAAAAATACACAAAATGGGCTGCTATCATATCTTGAAACATTTCCCTTGTAAGTCATATAAACTCCTCTTGACTAGATCAAAGTTCAGACAGCTTTTCCAGAACTATCAGGAGCTTGTTCCCAGATTGAGTCCTCAGTCTTTATTCTTTCATAAATTCATTTAATTTTTGTTCATTTTGACTTATTTAAAGCAATAGTTTTCCCAATTTATTTTGAACTTGTATCCCAACCAAGAATTTACAGAAGTGCCTCAACAAAAAAAGCAGAGTTTTCTTTGGAAAATCTTTCTTAAAGCTGCCTTCATAGCTTGATTTCTCAGGCTATAGATCATTGGGTTGAGTGTTGGGGGCACAACTGTGTACATAATAGTGAGCAAAGTGTCCAGTGCACTTGGAGAGTCAGAAGATGGCTTGAGATACTCAAAGACACCTGTTGAAATGAATAAAATGACGACAGCGAGGTGGGGAAGGCAAGTAGAAAAAGCCTTAGCTCTGCCCTCAGCAGATGGCATCCTCAGCACAGTAGAGAATATTTTTGTGTAGGACAAACCAATAAAGATAATGCAAAGAAATGCCATTAGAGACAAGAAGACACTGACCCCTATCTCGCCGAAGTACTCATTAGAACAGGAGAGTTTCAAGAGTTGGGGGATGTCACAGAAGAACTGGTGAATGATATGGGAACCACAGAAATGGATGGAGAAAGTTCCAGCTGTGTGCATGGTTCCAGTAATAACCGCACTGATCCAGACACCTATCACTCCGTGGACACAGGTGCGGACATCCATGATGATTTCGTAGCGCAGTGGAAGGCAGATGGCCACGTAGCGATCATAGGACATCACTGTAAGCATGGACATCTCAAAAGCTGCACAGAGAGTGAAAGCAAAACACTGCACTATGCATTCCCTGAAGGAAATGTAGCCACTGTGGATGAAAGTGTTATAAATGGACCTTGGCACAGTCACAGAAATGTAGCACAGATCCAGAAAGGAGAGATGTTTCAGGAAGAAATACATGGGTGACTGGAGACTATTGTCCATGGAAGTTGCTGTGATAATTAGGACATTGCCAGTTAATGCCACCAGATAGAAGACTAAGAACAGAGAAGCAAGTATGATTTCCTGCTCAGGTTTGTCTGAAAATCCCATCAGAAAAAAACCCACTCAAAGTGAGATTAGCCATAGTCCTTCTTAATTTCCCAGTATTGTTGGTTGCAAGACAAATTGAGCCCGTGAAAGAATATTGAAAGTTAATTAACGTACTAATCTACCTGGACTCAATCAAGTTTGGCAAAAAGCCATTTGAAGAAATCACACTTCATTGCAAATATGAAGTAGTTCTGATACTAAAAATCATGTCAAGAAATTTCATTTACTTGCCTCAGTTATGGAAACAGGGGTAAACAAGATTTTAAATAGTATTGCCCATTTCATCATAGACAAGAAAAATAATAATATACATAATAAAATTAATACAACCTTTAAATAATTTTACTAATAGAGGGCCAGAATATTCAATTTTCCTTTAGATTTATTTGCCAGTCCATACAATGTGTTTATAAACGTTTCTTAGTTTCCTATTCTTTTTCATGAATCACTCTACCTAATCATATGCCATTCTATCAACAACTGATTTATATAACTGCTATTTAATTTTTATTTTATGTATGAGGGAAATATCACTCATTTTTATGTATTTTCTCTTTTGAATGGAATTATGAAACTTAAAATTGATAGAAATTTTACAATACTTATGATATATAAATAACCAGTATAATTCACATAAAACTCCAAACTCATCTGAAAAATGTTAATTTCCCAAATGAAATGTATAACAGACCTTTCACCGTGTTGTTTTTGTTTTTTTTTTTTTTTTTGAGAAAATTACATACCTAATATATACACGCAAAATATTTCTACTCTAATACCTAATTAAATAAAATATTGAATAAATATGAATTGCAGGGCCTCCCCGGTGGCGCAGCAGTTGAGCACTTTGTTTCGAGGCTGCCCACAGCCTCTGCTGCGCCGGTTCAATCCCTGGCTGCCCGCAAGGGTCCCACATGGCACGCAGACTTCTGCCGCACCCACTGCTCCCCTCAGCAGTGCACTTCGGTCCTTCTGCCTGTTCTGCTCCCCGCTCTGGCTCTGGTGAATTCTCTCACCCTACAGCGCTTCTGACTGTACCCAGTGCTTGAATAAACAAATAAATAAAAATATTATAGAAATATATGAATTTTAATGTTTGAACCCGAAACATTAGTTAAGAGCAAAAATAAAATACTAAGTACTGTTAATTACGAATAAAGATAGCTAGTGGTATCATACACCTGAAAATGAAAATGTAGACCCAAAATCAATGATGTCAATAAAATTAATAATAAAAATATTAAATATTGGGCCTCCCCGGTGGTACAGCTGGTTGAACATCGTGCTTTGAAGCTGTCACAGCCTCTGCAGTGCGGGTTCGATTCCCATCTGGCCAGGGAGATACCCACATGACATGACAGACCTCTCCATTCTTGCCAGCTGCTCCCCTCAGCAGTGTCTTTGATCCATCTGCCTGTTCTGCTCCACGCTCTGTCTCTGGTGAATTCTCTCACCCTCCCGTGCCTCTGACCTGTACCACAGTTCTTGTATAAATAAAAAAAAAAATCTTTTAAAAAATAAAAATATTAAATATTATTCTTATTTCATACAAAAAGAAAAATCTTAAAACAGGCAAGCAGTATGGCCTAATTTGTGCATTTTCTGTGGAAAAGAGCAAATTATTTAGCCAAAGTTTTGAAAACAGTCTGTATGCCAAACAACAAAACTTTATACCTAAATGATATTTTAAATCATCATCTGAATAATTCTTATATAGAAAACTATGTTCATTTAAAATTAGTACTGCAGCAAAAGTATTGACAAATCCTAAAAATATAACTGTATTAAGTATGCTTTACTGGATCTGATTGCTATTTGGATATATTACATACATTTCATGTTCTAAAGACGGAATAAGCAGAGAATAAAGCATATAAGGAAACAAAAAAAAATAACAGCCTTAATATTCTGAATGGTGAGGGATTGATACTGTTTGTAACTATTTTATGTATTGTTGGCCTGATTTGATGGTTGAGACCCACAGGAAAATGATCCTCCTTTTTAGTTTTACAGGCTGAAATCCATCCATGTTCCTGTATTAATGTTCTGAACACCGAGGGTGATTGATGCTTCTAGCTTCTGTAGTGTACCATTTAAATTAATCAAGGATTTGTTTAAGTCTGAGGTTGATAGAAAAGACTTTATACTGATGAGGAGCCCCTAGTCTCCTGCAACTGAAACTTAGTAACTGAGATTTCTGGAGGCTCCAAGAGTTTCTATGCCTAAGTACATGGGAGAAGATTGCTTACTTTACCTTACAGAAACCAACAAAAATGATTTTTTCCATATGCATGAAATATTGTGTGATTTATCCAGAAGTATTTTGGCTTGTCTTTCTATTAATTTAAATCAACTATTGCTAATGATTTATATGGTAGCCACATAGTGAAATTAAATGCAATTTTTGTTTTAATCTTCAAAACTTTACATATCTTTTCTGCCTTTTGAAAAAACAATATAACATCACATACATATGAATATATATTTATGTGGGGGCCTCCCCAGTGGCGCAGCGGTTGAGCGCTGGGTTGCGAAGCTGCCCGCGGCCTCTGCGGCGCCGGTTCGATCCCCGGCTACTCCCCGGCCACGGGAAGAGGGTCCCAAATGGCGCGCAGACCTCTCCTGCCACCCGCTGCTCCCCTCAGCAGTGTACTTCAGTCCTTCTGCCTGCTCTGCTCCCCGCTCTGGCTCTGGTGAATTCTCTCACCCTCCCGCGCTTCTGACTGTACCCAGTGCATGTATAAACAAACAAACAAACAAACAAACAAATAAATAAATAAAACATGCCTCTATAAAAAAAAGAATATATATTTATGTATAATTTATATGTTAACCCCAATCATCTGTGTGTTTGTGGGTGTGTAAAAAGAATTTTGTCACATTATGGGTTAGTCATATCTAACTAGTATTTAGTATGCTGTGAGCACAACTTTAAAAAGGGATAAAACGTGGGATAAAAAGAAGAGGGAGAAAAGGTTCATTTTTAGTATTATTTCAAGGCAATTTTCCCTTTCTATATAAGCCTTTACTTTAAACAAGATAATCAAGATTTTTCACTTTTTCTTTTCTGAAAGTCCTACATACAATAAAGATCAAAGGAGGCATTCAAAGTCTAATTTTTCCATGAACATTTTTCATGAATTTCCATGTTTTTAAACATTAGTGTTTAAACTTTAGGTAGATAATGTTTTCAAAACTTAACAAAAGTTCTTTTTCAATGTACTAAGTGTGATATCTAATGATTTTTGCCAGTTATTTTCCTTGAAAGTCTTTTTCTCTATATATCAAAAAATTGGCTAGTAACATGTCCATTCCAAATTTTTTTCTAAATTTTCTCTGCTTCAGAAATTTTCCTGATGATTAGAAGAAATCAGAGACTGAATTAATGTTTATGACAAGAATCATGGTGTCATCATGATCTGTTAATCTTTATCGTTTCTTTTTTATCCTTACTTCACTATCATTAATGTCAAATTCATTCCCAATTTTTTAATTCTTCTACTTTACTTGAATAATTTCTGTGATTTCTGATGTGAAAGCCCCTCCTATCATTTATAAGTGGCAATTATAAGACTCAAAGAATGGTGTGAATACAAGGAGTATCAGAGTGTCATCCCATCACACATTCACACTGTATACTTCTAAGATGGTTATGTAATGAAAGGCATTGCTAGGGAGGTGGGAACTGCACTCCACAAAATGTTTCTGGAAAGGAAGGTTTTACAATGTTCTTTCCCAGATCATAATTTCTGCTTAAATAAACATAGCTCATGCAAAATATTTCATATTTTACAGGTTAAATAGCAGTGGCTCATCTCTCACCCACTCAAAACCAGTAATTTATGGTGACTTCATTATTCTGTGTAATCTATATTTTGAGAACCTAAGGAAACTCACCACAGCATATTCAAGAACTTCTCCCCACAACTGAAGGAGAAGCTGTCAGTGTGGGCAGCTGACATTTAGCTCAAAGTCTTGATCTCTGAGTTCATGCACATTCAGAAAAATCTGAACTTGACAGAGAAAATAAGTCCATTTCAACCCTTCTTGGCCCCTAGTGGTTAGACTATGAAGTCACTTTGGCACAAGCAGTGTGTCTGGTGCTGTGGGCATTCGGTGATCTTGGTCAGTGCCCTGGGACCAAAACTTGTAATTACAGTCATTGTTCCTGCAGAGTATTTTTCTGTTGAGTTGACTTAATGATTAAACTCAGTTACCTGGAATTTCACCTTATTTCAAAAATGTATTCAACATGGATTAAAACCTTGAAGGTATGACCTAAAACGTGAGGAAAGAAACAGACAATAAGCTCATTGACACGTAGCTTAGTGAAAACTTGAAACAAAATGCATGGCAGAAAACAGAGGCAATGAGTAGAAACAACTTAAGTGTCTATCAAAGAATGATGACTAAGGAAGTTGTGGTTATATACACAGTAGTAAATTGCTCAATCATTAAAAATGGAAGCCCTGTCATTTGTGAAGAAATAAACAATGATGTTTAAAAATGAAATAAAATGAAAGCCTCTATACGTGGAATCTAACTTTAAAACAAAAAGGTATTCCACAGAATGGGAAAAATATTTACACTTCACATGACAAAAAGGGTAACACCCAAAAATATAAATTATTCAACACTTTAAAGTGATGGAGTGGATGTAGAGATGATGGAATGTTTACAAGTACTTGAAGGGAATGAAAGCTGTGCCAACATTAAGGAAAACTATGGTCCTCAAAAAATTAAAATTAGTAATTCCATATGATCCCAGTTATCCTATTTAGCCAAAAAAATAAAAGAACACAAATCCAAAGAGATGTGCACCACTATCCTTATTGCAGTGTTGTTAGCAATAGCTAAGACCTGAAAACAACCTCAGTGCCCAGGGACAGACGATCGGCTGAAGAAGATGAGGTCAATGCACTCGATGGATCCCAAAGTTGTAAATGGCTAGAATCCTGCCCTGGTCACAACCTTGATGAGCCTCAGATATTTATGTTCAGTTAAATGAGTCAGAGAAAGACAAACAGCATATGATTTCATGCATGTGTTATATACCGAGGGGAAAAAAAAAGACGTGAACCAAATAAAACAAAAGTTAACTTTAAGAACAACTACTGGTTAGCAGAAGGGAAGGGAAGACGAGTGGGTGACTCAGGTAAAATGTATCACTTATATGGAGGACAGAACTGGAGCTTTAGTGCTGAACTTAACACAGTGTATATATACAGGTAGATTTTTAATTGTGCACATCTGAAATATTCATATTATAACACAGCATTGTGTCCATGAAAGAAATGGATTTGAATATGTTAATGATGCATAATACCATTACACTAAAAACCATACATGACTGAGGAAAGACTTTTTAAAGACATAAGTAAATGTCTTTACTTACATATTTACACAGTATTCTGGCCATGAATAGGAAGAGAGGAACTTTTTATGTTCCTGCTCAATCTACAAATTTAATGTAATCCCAACCAATATCTCAGCAGGTATCTTTTGCAATTGGTACACTGATTCTAAAGCTTATAAAGATAGATAGAATCTAGATAAACAGACAGAGTTGGAAAGAATTGGAAAGTTGGAAGAACAGAGTTGGAAAATTTTGAGTTTTTAATTTACTAAAGTACTGTGAACTACAGCTATTAACAGAGTCTGATATTATAAGCATGAACACATACATCAGCCGAACAGATTAAAACTCTCACACTATAGCATCATTTGATATTAAAACAGTGAAATTCATCAGGAAACAATATTTCTGAGTAAAACTGAATCATGAGGAGTAACTTTTAATAAAGTAAACCACAATTTCTACTTTGTACCTCGTGCAAGAATAATTTTCAATGGGACCACTGAAGTAAAGAACAAAGCAGTAAATATTTTAATGTAATTACTAATGTTTTTGTCTTTGTTATTTTATAGTTTTAATATGATATTCTGCTGTATATTCATTTTACATATATTACCTGTGTATGTGTGGATTGTTGCACTGGAGTGTCAAAATACTGTAAATTAAACCAATTAATTTTATATTTATACAACACTGAAGAGAGAATGATGATATCACTGACTATTCCAGAGACTGTAATGACAAATTTAATTATCTAGGCAGGTGAGGTTTTTGGGACCTCCAGATTTCCATTTTTATGCCTGGGAGAATGTTGCTTATTTTCTATTTAGAAATCTAACAAAAATATCTCCATTCCATATTCATGGCAATATCACAAGATGTACCCAAAATTATTTTGCTTGTCTTTCCATTAATTTAAATCTATGATTGCCAGTAAGGATTAAAGTAGTCATGTTGTTACTCTTAAAAAAATTCATACATGTTAACACAATTGAGTTGTGTTAGTATGTGTGTATGTAAAAACAACCGTGTCACTTATTACACTTATGTGTAATAAATATCTAAGACTTACTTTAAAATAGTGTTGAAGTAACTGTTTGAGATACCAAGTATAGAAGGAGAAAATAATGAAGGGACTTAAGTGTCTCTTTTGCTAGTGGTTAATTGTTATTTCAGATTTTTTTGGTCATTTTTTGATGAGGATTAATTTATGAACACAATGATGGTCACATTTTTTTCTTCTTTCATTATTGATCAGACTTTTATATTGGTTTTACATCTTTAACTGTAATGTTTCATTGTGCCCAAATTATTGCTGTGTGATAACAATGGGGAATTCAAAATCCAGCATCTTTAGCACAGTTTTAGGTGAACATTGATCTTTCTAAGCAATCTAATGTTTAGATGGATATAATGATTCTAAATCATTCTAAATCATTTCACATGAAAGTCTTTTCTAAGTGTATTTAGATATTGTTAATGATATTTACCCATTATTTTCATTGTCAGAACTTTTCTATCTTTCTGGAAATACTGAGAGTTCATTCTAGAATTTTCCATAACTCAGATTTTTCCCTTAGAATTAGAATAAATAAGAAGGCTGGAATGACTGGTTAGGACAAGCATGATTTTTGTTATGCTCTCTTAATATTTAGCTGTAGTTTATTTCGATCCTTATTTTGTGAAGATAGATAAATTTTCCTCCCATGTTTCAGCAATTTACCTGTGTTTTCTGATGTGGAAAACATCTCACATATCTTATAAGTCACTATTATAAGAGAAAATATATATATTACTGAAAGGAACATTCACACTGAATTACTTCTATGATGGTTCTGCACAGAAATCCTTTGACAGAGGGCCTCCCCTGGTGGTGCAGCAGTTGAGCACTGGGCTGCGAAGCTGCCCAGAGCCTCTGTAGCGCCACTTCTATCCCCGGCTGATGGCAAGGGTCTCACATGGCGCGACAGACCTCTCCTGCCGTGCCCGCTGCTCCCCTCAGCAGTGTATTTCAGTCTGCCTGTTCTGTCCCCCACTCTGGCTCTGGTGAATTCTCTCACCCTCCCACACTTCTGACTGTACCCAGTGCTTGTATAAATAAATAAATAAATCTTAAAAAAAAAAAAAAACCGTTTATAGAAAGATGGGAATCACCATCCATAAAATGATTCTGGAATGGGAGGAGTTTTCAATGTTCTCTCCCAAATTCCTAACTTCCATTAAAATTATCATAACTCATACATATTATTTCATATTTTACAAGTTAAATGGCAGTAGCTGATTATCTCACCCATTCAAACTAAGTAATTTATGGGTTTTCAATATTCATTGTAATCTATGTTTTTATACAACCTAAGGAAATTCACCAGAGCATATTCAAGAACATCTTCCCTCAACAGAATGAGAAGCTGTCAGTGTGGGCAGCTAACACTTAGTTCACAGTCCTGATCTCTGCAAGACAGTCACATTCAGAAAAACCTGAACTGTGGAGAAAAAAATGATTTCATTTCAATCTTCGTTTGGCCTCTGGAGGTTAGGCTATGATATTTCCTTGGCATAAACAGAGTTTGGGTGCAGTGGGTATTTGGTGTTCTTCTAGATAAATACTCTGGGGCCAAAACCTGCAATTATATTTACTGTTCCTCAGATTGTTTTCTTGCTGAGTTGATGTAACATTCATACCTAGTTTCCTGAAATTTCAATGCATTTGTGTAATTGGACCAAATTATTGAAAAATATTATAACATGTGTTAGATTCAAGAACATCCACACTGGGCCTCCCTGGTGGCGTAGGCGGTTGAGCGCAGCACTGTGAAGCTGTCCGCAGCCTCTGCAGTGCCGGGTCGATCCCTGCAGGCCTTGCAGCAACCGATATGGTGAGCAGACCTCTCCTGTCTCGCCCGCTACTCCCCTCAGCAGTGTGTTTCATCAGTCTGCCTGTTCTGTTCCCTGTGCTGTCTCTGGTGAATCCTTTCACCCTCCCACATATCTGGCCAGTACCCTGCTACCTGTATAAATAAAATTAAATCTTAAAAAAAAAGAATATACACAAAACACTTAAGTTAATTCCATTAATTGAATAAACAAGTCAACAATTTAATTCTAAGAGATAATATTATAATGTATAATAAACTTCCCCATTTTTTAAAAGGTGTAATTGTCATTTGGTTACTTGGAATCCAAAAAATAAATGGCAATATGATTTCACTTTGAGTGAAGAAGTAAAAATAACCATATTTTAATCTGTGTGTGGTCTATGATATGTCTACTATAATCATAAGAACTCTTATGAAAATAAACTCATTATTTCAATGTTAAGCCCAAATTATCATAGTTAACAACCGTATATTAAATTATCACAAAACTAGTCTTCATCCTATTAACATTTCACAAGTGTGAGCTTTTCCAATCTTTTGATGCCACAGATAAATCATGGTTTCTATGTAAACTATCATTTTAACACCATAATTCAACTATTTGTTAATATACAACTAATTGCACATTTGTGAACTAAGAATAGTATACAAAGGTGTAATTTAAGACAGCCATTCAGTACATGTATCTGTGTTCCTTAATTTCCAGAATAAATCTTCTCTCTTGCTTAATGAGAAAAATATTCATAAGTTTCC